ATGAGTGTTTTGAATAGAAAAGACACGAACTCACGATAAAACTTAAAGAAGTTTGAAAAATAGTTCACCACCAAGTTAAAATCATAAAGGGATACAGAAATTCACCACCCCAAGGATTATAAACGAGGATACAGAACATAAATCAAAAGACTCACCACTCAAGGACGCATCCAAGAGATACATAGTTTAAGAGAGTTCTCCAAGAGAGCTTTTGCCAAGTTATTATCAGTTTCTAAAGTTCTTTCTAAGTTCTAAATACCAAAATAAATAGTAGTGCATGAAACAACCCTTCATGCATAGGGAATTTCGAAATTAAGTGTTTACAGCTGCTAACCAACTCCTTTAATGCATTCCTTGGTCATGAAGACATGTTCACAACTGCTAACCAACTCCTTTAATGCATTTCTTGTCTTGAAGAAAAGCACCTTGAAACAGCTTTAACTTTGTGCAGGGAATATGCTAATTAACTGTCGTATTTGAGTGGGCTGAGTTAAAGATTATGAGGCATCATTGTTGGCTGAAAAAAATACCATATCATAATCAAGGTTCATATGATTATATTGTAGTAAATTAGACACTCCCTTGTCAATTTTCTTGTTGGCTTGTAATTATTGTATTAATTATATGATTCTTAGATAAATAATTGATTTGACAATGTTTACATATACCCTTTTCCAACTTGAACTCAGTCTTGTATGTCTAATTCTTTGCTAGTTATAGTTGATGAAAAAAATTAATTATATATATATATATGTATATATATATATATATATACACACACATATATATATATATGGGGTACCTAGATGAGTAGGATCATCAGTATGCTCTTTAAAGCATTGTTTACATTCATTAGCATACCTCTATTACTTCATAAAAAGATTAAATAGTTTCATGTTGCATCCACATGCTCGTGTCTGGCCATCTACTTAATGTGTGCACCTGTCCACATGCTTACATTGTCCCCTTCAGATATATATACAATATAAAATGAATTAATCAATTAATCAAGTTGGATTGACAAAAGCCTTTATTTAAATATTTGACCACGATATTCCCTCTTCGAACTTCAGTTTTCCTTCTTGTCCGTCATTAAATGCTCAACATTCACAAAGAAAAAGAAACTATTTCCAAAAGATTTTGGGGGTGCACCAATAAGGTTTAAAGACCCTTCATAACAGGTGTGATAGGCATTGCAAAAATCTCATGATATTATGGAACCATTATTAGTAGCTTCCAACTTATGTAGCACAATATTGCATATAAAATCATAAGTTTGAATAGCTCCTGTTAAGAGGTATTCATGAAAATTTACTGGAACAATGATTGTCAGCCACCAAATAATTTGTAGTAATAATATAAGCAATTTGTTGATTAATTTCACATTAAGCTGGCATACTGTATCGGTGCATCAACCAAAGAATGATTTTGATGAATTGCAATTGGATTTAAAAGTAAATATTTCTGTTACATTATGTCCATTATGATAGGCAAGAGCAGGTTGTATGGATTTTATCTTTTTGCTTGTCCCTAATTCCAATCAATTTATAGCAAGCAATTAGGCTTTTAGCTGTGGCTTCATAATCCAATCAGACTAGTATATATCTTATCAGACCAACCAAGAATTGGTAGAGGATCATATGGTTCAGTATCATTCGGTATATATCTTTTTATTTTTATTTTCATGATACTGAATGGTGGAACAAATTTTAGCGGATGTAGTCCAGGAGACTGCCTAATATACTAATATTGTATCAGTTTAATAGTATTGTTGAAACTGATAATGGACCAGTATTAATTGGTATTTTCAGCCATAGTTTGAGCAAGCACTTATTGCATCTCCTACCTATCCTGAACTCGTGTTTTAGCAATCTGGAACTAACTAAATAAACACTGAAATTAGGAACTAACCCATATATAACCAAAATGTCATTTTAGATCATATTGATATCACTTAAATATTTCTAAATATGGAATTAAATTACTTAAAATCAAAGAAGACCATTTCAATAAATTGAATTCACACTGGCTTGAACATGGGTTGTATTGGTTCTGTATGCATAACACAATGAAGCCTCTTTGAAATTATTACGATAGACTTTGACATGGTTACACTAGCTGGACAGCAGCATATTGTCTGGTGCTGGTCTGACAAAGCACCAATAATGGACCATACAATTTGATACCACTTGGTTCTTTTTATTATTTTTCACTGATACCATGCAATATTAGTTGGTGGGCTAATATGTATCTCTGTACTATAAGCATTGTCTAAACCAATTTATAAGCTATTTGTCTCAACTTCTACTTTATAGGTAACTATAGCTTATTGGGACAATGTTCATTTTTCAGTCCCTCGTCTGATGATAGCTCTCATCACACTGATGAGATCTTTTCTTTAAGTTATAAAGCCCAAGTGTTGTTTTAACTTGTTTTTGGTTATCAGTACATTCATTATTATGGATTTGCACCACTATCATCTTTGCAGTATTATTGTCAGTTTCTACTTTTCTTTTTTAGTTTGATATCTTGTTTTGTTGATAAATTTGAAATTCTGTTCTAATCTCTTCAAGCTTGCATTTCATTTTATCTGGTGGCTGAAGGGGATAATCAGGTTGCTGCATGGATGACTTACATACATGTATTCTTTGGGTACACTATCTACCTTAGAAGGCTAGAATGACTGAAAGTAGGACTAGGAGGATGCTTGATTCTTTATCTTGATACACAAAGATTGGAGAACTGTTTATTGCCATTTAAGCTCTTTTGCAAGGATAGTCGAGCAGCTTTAGCACTGTCTAAGCATTGATTTACCATTATAATTTTCCATGGGCTGTTGCATTTTCTTTCTTTTATAAGGGAATATGTATCTTTTGCTTCGTAAGAAGACTTCTTTTATTGTTCTTTTATAAATGACTTGTTTTATTGCTCTTTAAAAATGATTGTTTGTTGCTAATGAAAATCTCTGGTTAAGCAGGGATGAAGATGGAATATATTATGCTCTTGATTTAGGAGCTACTACTTGCCAAGTCTTGAGAATTCAACTTGGTGGTAGAGGGTCTAAGATCATAAACCACAAAGTTGAACTACATCAGATTCCCCAGGAATTGGCATCCAGTACAAGTGAGGTAACTGTGGCTTTTTTTCAACTGTTTAGCTCCATGTGTTGGTTATATAACAGTTTATTCTGTTATCTTTGTATACAGGAACTTTTTGATTTTATTTCTTTGACATTAAAAGAATTTGTTGAACGAGAGGAAAATGGTATCGATCAAGCACCAGATGAGAGGAAGGAACTTGGTTTTACATTTTCTTTTCCTATCAGGCAATTGTCTATTTCTTCAGGTGTTCTTATCAAATGGACGAAAGGATTTGCAATTGAAGATGTTGTAAGTTGACTTTTCACCATGGGTATATGTTCAAATTCCTGATAACTGTACTGGTTAAATTTAAGGGCAATGAAATTATTTGATCTACATACTCTATTTTCTGGCAACTTTGGTAGTGGTTGTAAGTTGTAACTGATCCTGCATGGTATCTTCTAACATCTATACTTGAACAATTTGTTAATGAACACAATCTACAATGTTCTATTTGCTGTTAAAGTTATTGAATATTAATGCATATATTTTATACAGCTTCTATATTTTGAGTATAATCAATTGATTCCCCAAACACCATGATGAGCTCTTATATAGCGAACTTAGACTGAAAATCCTTTTGACGAGATGTTTGTTGTGCAAGACTTAAGTGATTTTAACATGTCTCAAGGCTATCTATGTGACTGCTAACAGAAAATAAATACCATACACTTCGGATTGTTAAATTGGTTTTGCATTTACATAAGCATTAATGTTCAAGTTTGTGCATGTTAATGGACCATGATTCTGATTTTTATTCATCAAATTGTAGAGAGCGCCATGTGTTGAGATATCATCATTGTGTTTCTTTTCTATATCTTGGATCAATGATTTTTTTTTGGTTCCTATTGCTGATTAAAAAAGAACTAGCAGCAGTCTTTTAATTCTTAAGAACTTTTTAAAACTTGTATTTTATTAGTTAGCTTATTTTGATGCTTTTGACATGAGTGCTAGATTTTGTTGTTTATGGTGCTCTAAAATTTACTTCAGAACAACGTAGCCTTTGTGAAATTATAAATCAACTTGTAAATGAGAATTTAAGTTGATTAACATTAAGTACTTGTAATTTTAGATTTTTTTTCCCATGGAACTTGTACTTTATGCCAGTTGTGCATGACATTGCTAACTTCTATTTTTATTTTCAAATATTTATGAATGAGGATGGATCTAGAAATTCTTTTCATGTGAACTAATAACTATGATGAAGTTTGACTTGTTACATTAAATGAACTTCTTTACATTAAATAATGGTATGTTAGAGTATGATTTATACTCTTGGCATAAACTAATCTAGTAGCTCATTTTATAGTGTGCTTTTCCATATATACCTTATTTTGGTTGATTGAAGAGGGTGAGCATATGCTTTCTTTGCCTTTTCATCATTAAAATTCACACAAGTATTTATAAGAACCAACTAACTTCACCTTTGCAATTTAGGTTGGAAAAGATGTTTCGCGGTGCTTAGAGGAAGCCATGTCAAGAAATGGATTGAATATGCGGGTGGGAGCTTTGGTACGGTTTCATAATCCTCTTTTTTCCTAACAAATTTTCCTGATTTATGGAATCACATTAAAAGAATACAGAACTGCTGTAATCTTTTTTTCTGCTTGTGTGCAACAGCCTTAATCTGCATTCGCTCAAAGCCGTGTTTAGTAATTATTATAATCAAGTTGTACCTGAAATTGTTACTTTTGTGTATTAGTAGTTGTTAAATGCTGTCTCCTTGTAAAGTTTTCAATGTAAACCAAACAAAAGTGAACAGAAATAGTAAGATGTATTTAGAACTTATTTAAGGTACACATACAAGGATGGAGTGGAAGCATGGTGAGGGGGGCAATGACCTCATTCTACTTTTAATTTCTAATTGAATGTCTTCCCAACTGCCCCCAGTTGGCCTCTCTTTTGGATATATCTTTGGAAAAAAAATTTATGAGTAATATATTTTGAAACAAAATTATTTGTCATAACTAGCTCCTGATTATCAGATTTATTATGTTCACTAAATGCTGTGTCTAAGTTCTCTTTCAGATTAAGTAATTCATTTATGGAAATTATAGTGGCTTGTATTTGTTCTCTAAAATGTATCAACTCTAAGAGATAATATATGGAACTTTATGGCACCATTATGATAAATTTAATAATTTCCAGTTCAGTGATAAGCAGATAATCACAATTTTTCTAAAAATGAAAGTGTGCTTAATGCGTTTTTAATCTGCAAAAAAATTATAGAAATGGATTTTTCTAGAATTTCATGGAAATTAATCCAATCCCTTCCACTTATCCTTTTTCTCCAGTTAATGACTTCTCAAATTGCTCATGTTTTTCTAGCACTTCAAGAACAGTGGAGTAAGTATGCCGCCTAAGTAACTTAGTGGGCTTTACATTATGTCCATTTATGCAGGTGAATGATACTGTAGGCACATTAGCTCTTGGCCATTATTATGATAAAGACACTGTTGCTGCAGTGATAATTGGAACAGGCACCAATGCATGCTATGTTGAGCGATCTGATGCACTTATTAAGTCGCAAGGCCTTCTTACAAACTCTGGAGGCATGGTATCTTTTAGTTTAAATTCAAGTTGCATGATTTTTGAGTTATAGAGTTTTTGCATGAGTTTTGTAGTTTGCTTACATACCCATTTATGTGCTGACTAGGTTGTCAACATGGAGTGGGGAAACTTCTGGTCAGCACATCTTCCAAAGACCTCTTATGATATTGCTCTGGATGAAGAAAGTCCAAACCGAAATGAGCAAGTAGGTTTCCTGAAATTTTATTCATTTTGATTAAATTTTACTTCCAATTTCTACAATTGAGAGACCATTTGACATGGTTTGCCTCGTTTCAGGGTTTTGAGAAAATGATTTCAGGGATGTATTTGGGTGAAATTGTTAGAAGGGTACTTCATAGGATTGCGGAGGAGTCAGATATTTTTGGAGAATCTGCATATCATCTGTCAGTACCATTTATCTTGAGGTATGTCATTGGTGATACAGCATCACAAAATCATGCATGCAGATTATTTATAATAGCATCTTGACATATTTTCTGGCGGCGTGAATCTTTATCATTTCTTGCATCTAGAAGAAAACTTTCTTAGATATACATGTTTAGGTGTTTCATTCTGATAAATTCTTGTCACAATTCCTATTTTGCATAATTTCTTGTAACAAAATGCAATATGGTTTTCAGAAAGTCACATGTGACACTTTGCTTTACCCTAATAATTCTTGTGATTCTTGGGAGTGTGCATTACTGATAATTCTTGCGTTGGAAGAACAATAATATTTTCTCTAAGTTTTAGATTTTATCTCAATCAAGTGAGATAAAACATATTTTCTGATATAGTGCATGGTGAGCATTAAATGCTCCCAAGTTCCAAGATAATAAATTTTAAGTTGAACCTTATCAAATTTCAGAAAAATGGTTCATATCTTAAAATAATTAAGAAAATTTAAAACCACCAAATCACAATGTACTATGAATTTAATATTTACTGTAATTTGTGCTTGAGTTTTGGTAAATTATGGCTCATTAATTAGGTGGTTGAGGAATTCAATGTACAAGAGATCTATAAAAGAGGAAGGAAGAAAGATTGATAGAGCATTCTAAAACTAGAAACCCTATCGAATTTTTGTACTTCGAGCTATTAGCTCTTCGTATCTCTTAAAATAGAAAGAGTTTTTTTTTATCCTCTCATATCTTCCTTCTTTTCTTATTTTCTCATTCTCTCTTTTTTTTTCGTTTCATATCATTTCTCAAATATATTGTTGATACAATAAATTTTTTCAAGTGAGTTATGAACGTCCATTTTGTAAAAACACTGTACCTTCAAATTAAAAAAAAAAACTAAAGATTCTCAGGTCCATAACTTTCGGTCTCTATAATTCAGGACACCTTTGATGGCTGCGATGCACGAAGATGATTCTCCTAACTTAAGAGAAGTTGGAAGGATACTTGAAGAACAATTTCAGGTGAAGGCATCACCATGATTGCTCCTTTTTTGGCATAATCATTATGGCTCTGTGTCGTAATCATAAATATGTTCTTCTGGATCTTAACAGATGCCTGGTATCTCTCTGAAAGCAAGAATGCTTGTTGTGAGAGTTTGCGACATAGTTACCAGAAGGGCTGCTAGGTTAACTGCAGCCGGAATAATCGGTATACTAAAAAAAATAGGAAGAGATGGGATCAGTGGCGTGGCTAGTGGAAGAGCCAAAGGCAAACCAAAGAGATCAGTTGTCGCAATTGAGAGGGGCCTTTATACGAATTATTCAATATTTAGGGAATATATGAATGAAGCCATCACAGATATATTAGGGGAGGAGATTGCCCAAAATGTGGTTCTCAGGGTGGCAGAAGATGGATCGGGAATAGGCGCTGCTCTCCTTATTGCAACATATTCATCCAAACGATGAATCACCCAATACAAATATTTTTTTTTCTGTGCAAATGTAAGAAATTGTTTCATAGTAAAATTAGTATATATATTTGCAAAAAAGAAAAAAAAATATATATAAGGTGGTGTTGTGCAGAAACTCCCAGTATCTTTAAATCTGTTGTGGTGTGTAAATATCTTTGTTGCTTGCTGAACAACAGCTCTGCTGGTTTTCATAGGAAGTCACAATCCATCCTACTGCTAAAAAAGAAGAAAATATGTGAAGTATTCAGATATCATCTCTTTTGAAAAAATATAAAAAATAAAAAGTCGAGTGAAAACTATGATATGTCTGTGACATTTCCCCACCATTGTCAGCAACTATATTCACACCTCTTCTTTCGTATTTGGTTTTGTTGTGCAAGAAATTTTTGCTGGACTCCATAATGGTCGGGATGAATTTTTTGTATAAATCAAATATAAAACAGGACAAAACTATTTGATTACTAAGTTTCTTGGTAAATCATTTCAAAATATACAATGTGGAAGACCCAAATTTCTTCTTTCATGTTGACCTAACTTAAACTGTTTCGGGGAACAATGGACTATTAGATCCTGTCTAATATTTTGCATACAACACTATTTTTATGATAAATTGGAATTATATATTAGATCTTTTTTTTATAATAATACATTAAATCTCTGGCATTATAGCGTACGCGCAATCTTTAATAAATTCTTTGACATAAACGTATGTAGCCATGGTTGCGTGCAACACATCAATTTTTTAAGAAATCAGTACTACTAGGCAAAGCTTTGAAAATTATTCATAAAATTTCATTGATGTTGATCGATTTTTCACAACTAAAATATTAATCTGATGGTGGTAAATTAAACTTACCAAAGTTTCATCCGACATTTTACAAACAGAAACTGTTTTGCAAGGCCAGCATTTGTCATTTTGGAACTCAAAACTAACTTCCAAAGCACAGAGAAAGTTAAAAGGAATAGTAGAAATAGTTCTATAAACCTGAACATTCAGCTATCTCAAAACTAACTTCTCTCGTGCAAAACACAGAATTGGCTTCATGCAAGTCCACAATGGCGATTTGCAGATCAACAATGATTGAAGTCAGAATTTAGCTTCATATAGGCCAATACTGAGCACAATTACTTCCACGATGCTCCTACTCCGTCAAGTGAATCTGCAAAGAAAAGCAAAATGAAGATAGGAGTTAGATACAGAAAATATTACAACAATGAGAAGAACGAGAATTACTCCACAACCTCACTGACGAAAGACTATGTAATGCATGCAAGAGAGTGTTTCTCAGGCATGAAAATACAAGATAGCCAGTGGCGTATTCTTGAAGAAACTCATGTAACCAGCACCTTCGACGAACCAAGAGTTGATGATGCCACCATGACTCGAATGCATTCCATTAACCCACCTATCGACAAGCTCAAAACCAAAGTGCAATGCAGTGGAAATTATTGAGCTTTCATCAACTCTTCTTTGAATGTGGCATAATACAAGGGCTGGCTTGCAAATCCCATTTTCCCGGTTGCTTATCAGCTCTCTTGCTGTCTCAAACAGAGGTGAAATAGCATCATAATTGTAAGTTACATCAGTCCCTATGATAATCTCAAAACCTCCACTATGTCCACAAAGATCCTTGATGGCTTTGATGTCCTCGGTATTTCCCCAGAGTAACCTCTTAACCACAATTTTATTAAGCAAACTTGTTTCTAAGTTTGATATGATATTCTCTCTTAGAAGGCTAAGAGCTTCTGTATCTCCATCAGTAGAGACCACCACCTCTGCCAACTGAGCAGCAATCATTGAGCAGATACCAGCAGAGCCACAACCCAATTCCAACATCTTCTTTCCTGCAACAATTGAAGGGTTTTCTGCCAATAAGTTGCTCATTAGATGAGCTGATTCCCATATCATAAGTCCAGTAGATTTGCAGGTATGTTGATATTCTTTAGCAAGTGCTTTTATCTTAAAGCTGTAGTCTTTCACTTCAATCTTGATAACCTATTTCTTGCAATCACAGGACAACCCACAAATTAAAAGCAATATAAAATATTGTTAACTTAGAACAATTAAAGGATTCTGTCATATGCAAACTAACAACATAAGAGATGGATACATCGAAGCTTGATGCATTTTTATTTAACCTACTTCACAAGATAATATAATTCAGTGGTTGCTTAAAGAAAGAAGCAACACTGTCAATCACATATTGATCTTATCCAATGAAAATAAAGAAAAGAATATCAAAGAAGTAGAAAAGAGAAAAAGGAACCTTTCTTGGCAAAACTTTGTTTTTCCAACTATCATATCTTTATTCTCTATGATAAATGTCCTGGAACTATATCTTACCACCTATGACAGTATTACTACAAGAATCTATCAAGGAAAAGAAATAGCTAATATAACTATCACTAGCGTTTATCCAATAGTTATTAAACAAATGATTCTATTATCTAACGATCTACAACAATAGAACAATGATGTTGGATAATGCAATAACTCAAATTTCAACTGAATCCAGATTATAAGCATGTTCAAGACTTCATGCTAGGATGACAAGAAACAGTAAGAGCACAATGCAGTTTAAAAAAGTTATCACAGCTTCATGCTATGAGAAGAATATCACTACTTTGTCTGAAGAGAATGTGAA